TTGGTGTGTCTGTGGTAGGAGATGAATTTTGGATCTACCTATTCTGCCACCTTGGACTGCAAACCTTTTCTGCTGGACAATCACACTGTTTCTTAAATGATTTCTTTTGAGCACCAGTTCTGTTTTGTGTGTGTGTATTTTTTTTTAAATCAGTGATTTTCAATCTGTCACCAAAAATACATAAAAATATAAGCTCCGATTATTTTATTAGTTGTCTTAACAATAAAAGGTTTTTTGCTACAAAGGTTCCTAAATGTTACTCTCAGTTTCTATAATCTCCTCATAGTCAACTGGAAGTGAAGTTTGTGGCCTGGCAGTGTTCTGCAGACTGCATTTTTGGGGAGCACTGTTCTAGATTTTTTGGCAAATTGGGAAGACCAAGGATACTCTATTGTGCTTTCAGTTACACATCAAATTGAATGCTCTGCAAAGGCAAGTTCATATGTTATTCATCTTATTTGAGAGTTTAGGACAGAACCTGATATTATATAGTGATTATATAGTGATAATAAGTGGAGTCACAAAACAATGTACAAGCACAAATTCTGCAAATATTCAAAATTGCTGATTGTAAAAGTAGTAATTTTGGGGGTTTCCATATCAGATTATCATCTTTTTTTTCTATTAAATTTACATTTTTTCTATTAAATTTAAATTTTTCTATTAAAGTACATTCAATCCTGAATGGCATTTGGGAGCTTTCATTACTGGCTTTTAAACTTTTTGCAGTATCACAACTACTATATTTACATTGATACAGCCAAGATACAGAACTTCCTGTTGCCAATAGGCTCCTTTATGTTGTAGAATTATAGCAAATCCAATTTTTCTTCCACCCATCCTTACTTCTTCCTTTTAAAAAAAAACAACTGAGAATCAGTTTATTAAAATAGTTGATATAGGCATCTGCCCTGGTGACTGAACTCAATTCCTGCAGAAATACTGATGGAAGTAATCTCTGCTTAACAGTCTCAGAAGAACTGTGCAGGTCAATAAATCACTTGAGGATCCTCCTCTGGAAAAGATCCAAACAGTCTTGGAACCTTCATCACAAGGAATTTTCTTATAGTAATTCTTAAAGAGTATTCATAGGCCTTGGAACTGGTCCTTTTGCTTTGAGATTCTTTTCCTTCATGCCTCTGATCAAGTCAACACACACCTTCTCCAGAGACTACACTGCAGCTGGTTAGGATCATTCTAATTCAGTGAATCGCCACCTCTGGTTGACAGGTGTTTTTCTGATATCTCTCAAAGCTATGGCTGTGACATGTCCTCCTGGTTGACTTGTGACTTCCTGGTTGACTTTTCGTAGGAGAGTGAACAGTGATGAGTGGGGAGCATGAGCCAGGGGAGGTGAGCTTTGCTGCATCTGCAACTGCAACCACTTCTTCCTCAAAGAGCCCCCAGCCCTTTCTTAGCTCCTGGCAGCCACTAATCTGTTAAGCATTTCTGTAATTTTGTCATTTCAAGAATATTATATAAATGGAATAATAAAGTGTGTAACCTTTTTCTGATTGGCCTTTTTCACTTGGCGTAATTCTCTGGGAGTTCATGCAGTTTGCAGTATCAGGGGCCCAGTCCCTTTTTTTTGCAGAGTGACATTCTGTGGTATGGATGTACACAGTTTAGTTAAACATTTGCCCATTAAAGGACATCTGGTTTGTTTCTAGTTTTTGACTATTACAAATAAAGCTGCTAGAAACATATGTGTATAAGTTTTTATGTGGGCATAAGTCCTTCTTTCTCTGGGATAAATGCCCAGGAATGTTACTGCTGGATCATATGATAATTGTGTGTTTAGTTTTTTAATAAATTGCCAAGTTGTTTTTCAGTGTGGGTGTACTATTTTATATTCCCACCAGCAATGTATGAGTGACTCAGTTTCTTTGTCTTCCTGGCAGCATTTGGTCTTGTCACTATTTTTTAATTTTAGCCATTCTGATAAAACATGTAGTGATATTTAATTGCGGTTTTGATTTACATTTCTCTGATGGCCAATGATGTTAAGCATTTTTCATGTACCTATTTATCATCTGTTGATCCACCCAGTGAAATGTCTTTCTTTTGTCTAGTTTCTAGTGAGACTGTTTTTTAATGTTGAATTTTAAAAGTTCTTTATATAGTCTAGATTCTAGTCCTTCACTGAATATGTGGTTTGAAATATTTTCTTCCAATTTGTTGCTTGTCTTTCTATTTTCTTACTGAGTTTTTTGCGCAGGGCTGAAGTTGATTTTGGTAAGGTTGAATTTAACAGTTTTTCCTTTTATGAATCATATATTGGAATCAAGTCTAATAACTCTTTTGTAGCCCTATCTCCCAAAGAGTTTCTTCTATTAAAAAACATGTAGTTTTACATTAAATCCTAAGCCCATGATCTACTTTAAGTTAATTTTTACATATAAGTTATGAGACTTAGACTTAGGTTGAGGCTCTTTTTTTTTTCTTTAAACCTATGAATATCTATTTGTTCTACTTTTGTTGAAAAGGCTTGTCTGTCTTTCCTCCACTGGATTGCTTTTGCACCTTTGTCAAAAATCAGTTGTTCATATTTGTGTGGGTCTCTTTCTGTGTTATTTATTCGGTTCCATTGGTCTGTGTATCAATCCCTCTACAAATACCACAGTCTTGATTATTGTAGATATATATTAAGTCTTGAAATGGGGAAGACTGACTCCTCTTCCTTCATTATTATTTTTCAAAATTGTTTTATCTATTCTACTTCCCTTGCCTTTCCATATACATTTTAGAATAATTTTGTCTATATATACAAAAATACTTGCTAGGATTTTGCTAGGAATTGCATATATAACAGTGTGTCTCTTTTCTCTAAAGTAGCTAGAAACAACTTCGCCTGCTTTTACTTCTCTTTTCCTATCTCCTACTACATAACTTTTTATGGGTTTCTCTGAGCTGCTCTCCATCAACCCCACCATGTGTATGATTATATTCTAGCAGCAACAGTTTTGTCAATAATATGATGGTTTACATTTTGATCTTTCATTCAAATTCTGCCTGTCTCCTGATTTTGTAGCCTAAATTTTCTTTGGCTCTGAGCCCCTTACGAATTTGTAAGATTAGATTAGGCAAACAGAAATCAGCACCCTAGGATTATTTTCTATCCTTATCTAGGAGTTTATGGTTTGTGATATACATGGGAGGGTTTTATAAAGCAAGAAGTTGGTAACTTTAAATAATTCTAGACTTAAAATTGATTATTATTTTTGGTTTAAAAAGTTGTTGATATGGTTGTGACTACTTTTTAGTACATGAATTCAGGTGTTGTGTTAGACCTTATTTGCTAAGAAATATGTATACCCTGTCCTCAAAGATTGGAATCTGTTGGGTAAAATAGACTTATAAACAGGTATTTTCATTACATTGACCTCAATGCAGTGATAGAGATGCTAGGGCTTTTTGGAATAGAAAGGGGTCCTTACCTTACTAGGGGAGGAGAAATATGGGATAGCCATGCTAGAACTGAAGTTTGAATAGTTAATCTGATGAAAGTAGTAATGGAAGGACATTTTGAACAGTTAGAAGAGCGTGAGAGGTATATAGAATGAAGCAGCATATTAAGATGGCTAGTAGAGAATTACAAACAGGTTAGTGCTGTTTGATGGCAAGTGTGGCAAGCAGGAAAGAGACACTGAAAGATAAGCCAGCTCAGATCTTGAAGAGCCTGTTGCATTGAGCATGGACTTGATCCTCAGTAGTTCTCAAACCTAGCAGGTCCAAAATCTCCTTTTAATCGTAAATAATTTCTAAAGCCCCCCCTTATTATCCTTAAGTAGAATTTATGTATAATTCATGTAAAATAAAATTAACATGTATTATTTCTAACAAATCAATATGATGATATAAATATAAAGGAAAATTAAGTGATTTGTAATACATATTTAAAAATATAAATATTCAATCATTGCTGCATTAGAACCTGTAATAAATTAATAGAATACTTGGACCTCTATGTAGACTCACTGTGAAAGCATAGCAATACGGTCTGCAGGTACCAGGGCCTTGGGGCTTATAAAACAGGATATCACTCAGAACCCACTGTCATCTCTGCTTGGATTCATTCTTTTTTATTGTAATCAGGTCTTTACTAGAAGATCAAAGATGGCTGTCTGCATCCTTAGCTTCATATCCTTCTGGTACCATTACCCAAAGAGGCAAGACCATTTCTCCTCTGCTCTATAATTGGCAGATTCATTTGGATCAGTCATTCTGCCGAGAGAAAGGAGGGTATTATGATTTGTCTTGTTTGGACCTCATGCCAGTGCCAGTGGCTAGAAGAGGATAAGGATATACCAAAGAAGATGCAGGGAAAAGCTTGTCCCAGACTAAATCATTAACCATCACTGTCTTCTCTAAGTCTCTGTTGCCCCAGCCCTCTGATTTTAGTTTAGCTGCTTGCTTAGAACAGCAATGGCAATTAAGTTTTGAAAATTTATGGAAAAACATAAGTAGTAAACAATTTCAAAGTATTATTATTGTGAATGAGCTATTTGGCTGAAGATGGACTACAAAGCTAAAATAATATGTCTGTTTAACAAAATTTACTTGGTGCTCCTATGGACAAGTCATTGTATGGTTATAGGATATCAAATCAAGCTTCGCTGTATGGCACTGTGAAATTATGTAAGATTTCATCAGTGAAAATTCATCAGATACATTTTATTCTCTTGTTTTATTATTTTATTTAAAATTTTAAAAATTCATTTCCCTATCATGGAGCTGGATATTTAAAAACTAGAGTCTAGTTATTGATAATAGAATTTTAATGACATGTAATTTTTTAACAGCTTTTCTAATATTTGATATTTGCAAAGGGAATATTTTTGTGCTTATGAATTGCTTATTCTCATTAGTGTCACTTGATGGCCATTTCTGAAAGCTTTTTCAGTGATTAAGAATAACTCAAAATCTGATCTGTAATTAAGAAGTTATCTTTTTCTAGTTACTGGCCAGATTGAAATTTATTACTTTTTCTGTCATTATAGTCTATTGCATCTGCAGACATGGATTTCAACCAGCTGGAGGCATTCTTGACTGCTCAAACCAAAAAGCAGGCTGGGATCACATCTGACCAAGCTGCTGTTATTTCCAAATTCTGGAAGAGCCACAAGACAAAGATCCGAGAGAGCCTCATTAACCAGAGCCGCTGGGACAGTGGGCTTAGGGGCCTGAGCTGGAGGGTTGATGGCAAATCACAGTCAAGGCACTCAGCTCAGATACACGTCCCTGTTGCCATAATGGAGCTGGAAATAGGAAAAAGTGGACAGGTGAGTTCAACTTCAATTAATTTCACTTTGTAAACTTTATTTTCCATTACGTATTAGCCATACATTCAGACTGATTTTATGTAACAGTCTTTTTTGTAGAGATAATAAGAATAGTAGGAAAAGATCCATTTCATAGAATCCCTTTTCAGAGATAGAATCATCAGAAAATTTCTACATTCCCAATTGTGGACAGAGTCTAGAAACCAGCCTCAGGTTCTCGACAGTTATCTCAGAAGAACAAAGTAGGTCAATTAGGTGATTGCCCAGGAGTTGGCCATTACTGGTTAGATCTGAAAATTCTTGTCATTTGGTCAGAATCTCCAAGACAATGATAAAGATGCTAAATAAAGACCTGGAATTGAGATAAAATAATATAGAGCAAAACTATGTTACTCATCATCTTTATAGACGGTCAGGTACAGGAGGCAATGTATCTTGAAAAGGGGTAATATATTGTCCCTATAGACCCTAAGTGTGCTATCTTTATCTTTGTCCTGGAGTCCACAAATAATTCCTAATTTGATCTTGATTATTTACAGAACAGTCCTGTTTTACCTTGCTATTTACATAGTCAATGTAGCAGGTAGTTTTTTTGCATCTATTGTTTTTCTTGAAGTCATTCAGTTTGTGCTCCAGATGACTGCCAGATCAGATGTTTAGTGATCTAGTGTACGACTTTTGGGAGAAAAAAAGCAGCAGCTTATTATTAGGAAGAGAAAAGCCAGATCACTTAATTAGATAACCAGATTTACTTTCAGGTAAATAATCAAATAAGTGCTTCTATTACATCCTATAGTAAAAATTAATTTTCCTTCTAAAGATGACCATTTTTTAGCAGGCAGCTTCCCTCACATAATCCCTTCTAGAGTTTCTTGGGATTTTTCAGTGTTCATAGTTCCATAATAACAATCTGCCCTGGTGACTGAACTCAATTCCTGCAGAAATACTGATGGAAGTAATCTCTGCTTAACAGTCTCAGAAGAACTGTGCAGGTCAATAAATCACTTGAGGATCCTCCTCTGGAAAAGATCCAAACAGTCTTGGAACCTTCATCACAAGGAATTTTCTTATAGTAATTCTTAAAGAGTATTCATAGGCCTTGGAACTGGTCCTTTTGCTTTGAGATTCTTTTCCTTCATGCCTCTGATCAAGTCAACACACACCTTCTCCAGAGACTACACTGCAGCTGGTTAGGATCATTCTAATTCAGTGAATCGCCACCTCTGGTTGACAGGTGTTTTTCTGATATCTCTCAAAGCTATGGCTGTGACATGTCCTCCTGGTTGACTTGTGACTTCCTGGTTGACTTTTCGTAGGAGAGTGAACAGTGATGAGTGGGGAGCATGAGCCAGGGGAGGTGAGCTTTGCTGCATCTGCAACTGCAACCACTTCTTCCTCAAAGAGCCCCCAGCCCTTTCTTAGCTCCTGGCAGCCACTAATCTGTTAAGCATTTCTGTAATTTTGTCATTTCAAGAATATTATATAAATGGAATAATAAAGTGTGTAACCTTTTTCTGATTGGCCTTTTTCACTTGGCGTAATTCTCTGGGAGTTCATGCAGTTTGCAGTATCAGGGGCCCAGTCCCTTTTTTTTGCAGAGTGACATTCTGTGGTATGGATGTACACAGTTTAGTTAAACATTTGCCCATTAAAGGACATCTGGTTTGTTTCTAGTTTTTGACTATTACAAATAAAGCTGCTAGAAACATATGTGTATAAGTTTTTATGTGGGCATAAGTCCTTCTTTCTCTGGGATAAATGCCCAGGAATGTTACTGCTGGATCATATGATAATTGTGTGTTTAGTTTTTTAATAAATTGCCAAGTTGTTTTTCAGTGTGGGTGTACTATTTTATATTCCCACCAGCAATGTATGAGTGACTCAGTTTCTTTGTCTTCCTGGCAGCATTTGGTCTTGTCACTATTTTTTAATTTTAGCCATTCTGATAAAACATGTAGTGATATTTAATTGCGGTTTTGATTTACATTTCTCTGATGGCCAATGATGTTAAGCATTTTTCATGTACCTATTTATCATCTGTTGATCCACCCAGTGAAATGTCTTTCTTTTGTCTAGTTTCTAGTGAGACTGTTTTTTAATGTTGAATTTTAAAAGTTCTTTATATAGTCTAGATTCTAGTCCTTCACTGAATATGTGGTTTGAAATATTTTCTTCCAATTTGTTGCTTGTCTTTCTATTTTCTTACTGAGTTTTTTGCGCAGGGCTGAAGTTGATTTTGGTAAGGTTGAATTTAACAGTTTTTCCTTTTATGAATCATATATTGGAATCAAGTCTAATAACTCTTTTGTAGCCCTATCTCCCAAAGAGTTTCTTCTATTAAAAAACATGTAGTTTTACATTAAATCCTAAGCCCATGATCTACTTTAAGTTAATTTTTACATATAAGTTATGAGACTTAGACTTAGGTTGAGGCTCTTTTTTTTTTCTTTAAACCTATGAATATCTATTTGTTCTACTTTTGTTGAAAAGGCTTGTCTGTCTTTCCTCCACTGGATTGCTTTTGCACCTTTGTCAAAAATCAGTTGTTCATATTTGTGTGGGTCTCTTTCTGTGTTATTTATTCGGTTCCATTGGTCTGTGTATCAATCCCTCTACAAATACCACAGTCTTGATTATTGTAGATATATATTAAGTCTTGAAATGGGGAAGACTGACTCCTCTTCCTTCATTATTATTTTTCAAAATTGTTTTATCTATTCTACTTCCCTTGCCTTTCCATATACATTTTAGAATAATTTTGTCTATATATACAAAAATACTTGCTAGGATTTTGCTAGGAATTGCATATATAACAGTGTGTCTCTTTTCTCTAAAGTAGCTAGAAACAACTTCGCCTGCTTTTACTTCTCTTTTCCTATCTCCTACTACATAACTTTTTATGGGTTTCTCTGAGCTGCTCTCCATCAACCCCACCATGTGTATGATTATATTCTAGCAGCAACAGTTTTGTCAATAATATGATGGTTTACATTTTGATCTTTCATTCAAATTCTGCCTGTCTCCTGATTTTGTAGCCTAAATTTTCTTTGGCTCTGAGCCCCTTACGAATTTGTAAGATTAGATTAGGCAAACAGAAATCAGCACCCTAGGATTATTTTCTATCCTTATCTAGGAGTTTATGGTTTGTGATATACATGGGAGGGTTTTATAAAGCAAGAAGTTGGTAACTTTAAATAATTCTAGACTTAAAATTGATTATTATTTTTGGTTTAAAAAGTTGTTGATATGGTTGTGACTACTTTTTAGTACATGAATTCAGGTGTTGTGTTAGACCTTATTTGCTAAGAAATATGTATACCCTGTCCTCAAAGATTGGAATCTGTTGGGTAAAATAGACTTATAAACAGGTATTTTCATTACATTGACCTCAATGCAGTGATAGAGATGCTAGGGCTTTTTGGAATAGAAAGGGGTCCTTACCTTACTAGGGGAGGAGAAATATGGGATAGCCATGCTAGAACTGAAGTTTGAATAGTTAATCTGATGAAAGTAGTAATGGAAGGACATTTTGAACAGTTAGAAGAGCGTGAGAGGTATATAGAATGAAGCAGCATATTAAGATGGCTAGTAGAGAATTACAAACAGGTTAGTGCTGTTTGATGGCAAGTGTGGCAAGCAGGAAAGAGACACTGAAAGATAAGCCAGCTCAGATCTTGAAGAGCCTGTTGCATTGAGCATGGACTTGATCCTCAGTAGTTCTCAAACCTAGCAGGTCCAAAATCTCCTTTTAATCGTAAATAATTTCTAAAGCCCCCCCTTATTATCCTTAAGTAGAATTTATGTATAATTCATGTAAAATAAAATTAACATGTATTATTTCTAACAAATCAATATGATGATATAAATATAAAGGAAAATTAAGTGATTTGTAATACATATTTAAAAATATAAATATTCAATCATTGCTGCATTAGAACCTGTAATAAATTAATAGAATACTTGGACCTCTATGTAGACTCACTGTGAAAGCATAGCAATACGGTCTGCAGGTACCAGGGCCTTGGGGCTTATAAAACAGGATATCACTCAGAACCCACTGTCATCTCTGCTTGGATTCATTCTTTTTTATTGTAATCAGGTCTTTACTAGAAGATCAAAGATGGCTGTCTGCATCCTTAGCTTCATATCCTTCTGGTACCATTACCCAAAGAGGCAAGACCATTTCTCCTCTGCTCTATAATTGGCAGATTCATTTGGATCAGTCATTCTGCCGAGAGAAAGGAGGGTATTATGATTTGTCTTGTTTGGACCTCATGCCAGTGCCAGTGGCTAGAAGAGGATAAGGATATACCAAAGAAGATGCAGGGAAAAGCTTGTCCCAGACTAAATCATTAACCATCACTGTCTTCTCTAAGTCTCTGTTGCCCCAGCCCTCTGATTTTAGTTTAGCTGCTTGCTTAGAACAGCAATGGCAATTAAGTTTTGAAAATTTATGGAAAAACATAAGTAGTAAACAATTTCAAAGTATTATTATTGTGAATGAGCTATTTGGCTGAAGATGGACTACAAAGCTAAAATAATATGTCTGTTTAACAAAATTTACTTGGTGCTCCTATGGACAAGTCATTGTATGGTTATAGGATATCAAATCAAGCTTCGCTGTATGGCACTGTGAAATTATGTAAGATTTCATCAGTGAAAATTCATCAGATACATTTTATTCTCTTGTTTTATTATTTTATTTAAAATTTTAAAAATTCATTTCCCTATCATGGAGCTGGATATTTAAAAACTAGAGTCTAGTTATTGATAATAGAATTTTAATGACATGTAATTTTTTAACAGCTTTTCTAATATTTGATATTTGCAAAGGAATATTTTTGTGCTTATGAATTGCTTATTCTCATTAGTGTCACTTGATGGCCATTTCTGAAAGCTTTTTCAGTGATTAAGAATAACTCAAAATCTGATCTGTAATTAAGAAGTTATCTTTTTCTAGTTACTGGCCAGATTGAAATTTATTACTTTTTCTGTCATTATAGTCTATTGCATCTGCAGACATGGATTTCAACCAGCTGGAGGCATTCTTGACTGCTCAAACCAAAAAGCAGGCTGGGATCACATCTGACCAAGCTGCTGTTATTTCCAAATTCTGGAAGAGCCACAAGACAAAGATCCGAGAGAGCCTCATTAACCAGAGCCGCTGGGACAGTGGGCTTAGGGGCCTGAGCTGGAGGGTTGATGGCAAATCACAGTCAAGGCACTCAGCTCAGATACACGTCCCTGTTGCCATAATGGAGCTGGAAATAGGAAAAAGTGGACAGGTGAGTTCAACTTCAATTAATTTCACTTTGTAAACTTTATTTTCCATTACGTATTAGCCATACATTCAGACTGATTTTATGTAACAGTCTTTTTTGTAGAGATAATAAGAATAGTAGGAAAAGATCCATTTCATAGAATCCCTTTTCAGAGATAGAATCATCAGAAAATTTCTACATTCCCAATTGTGGACAGAGTCTAGAAACCAGCCTCAGGTTCTCGACAGTTATCTCAGAAGAACAAAGTAGGTCAATTAGGTGATTGCCCAGGAGTTGGCCATTACTGGTTAGATCTGAAAATTCTTGTCATTTGGTCAGAATCTCCAAGACAATGATAAAGATGCTAAATAAAGACCTGGAATTGAGATAAAATAATATAGAGCAAAACTATGTTACTCATCATCTTTATAGACGGTCAGGTACAGGAGGCAATGTATCTTGAAAAGGGGTAATATATTGTCCCTATAGACCCTAAGTGTGCTATCTTTATCTTTGTCCTGGAGTCCACAAATAATTCCTAATTTGATCTTGATTATTTACAGAACAGTCCTGTTTTACCTTGCTATTTACATAGTCAATGTAGCAGGTAGTTTTTTTGCATCTATTGTTTTTCTTGAAGTCATTCAGTTTGTGCTCCAGATGACTGCCAGATCAGATGTTTAGTGATCTAGTGTACGACTTTTGGGAGAAAAAAAGCAGCAGCTTATTATTAGGAAGAGAAAAGCCAGATCACTTAATTAGATAACCAGATTTACTTTCAGGTAAATAATCAAATAAGCGCTTCTATTACATCCTATAGTAAAAATTAATTTTCCTTCTAAAGATGACCATTTTTTAGCAGGCAGCTTCCCTCACATAATCCCTTCTAGAGTTTCTTGGGATTTTTCAGTGTTCATAGTTCCATAATAACTTTCATTTTAATTTTAAAGATAGTTCTTTTTCAGAAGAACAAATGAAACCTAAAGCTAGTAGAAGGAGGGACATAATAAAGATCAGAGCAGAAATAAATAAATAATAAAACAATTGGGAAAATCAGTGAAACCAAGAGCTGGTTCTTTGAAAAGATAAACAAAACAGACAAAACCCTAGCCAGATTTATCAGGAGAGAGTATACAAATAAATAAAATCAGAAATGAAAAGCAAGTAGTTACAACAGACACTACAGGAATACAAAGAATTAGAGAATTCTGTGAAAAATTACATGCCAATAAATCAAACAACTTAGAAGAAATACACAAATTCCTAGAAAAGTACTGCCTTTCAAGACTGGTCCAGGAAGATGATCTGAATAGACCAGTTACCAGTAATGAAATTGAACTGGTCATCGAAAAAACTCCCAACAAACAAAAGTCCAGGACCAAGTGGCTTCAGAGCTGAATTCTACCAAACATTTAAAGAAGACCTAGTAGCCATCCTTTTTTTTTTTTTAAAATTTTGAGTGGGTGTGACTGCACACTTTTTATTATTAAGTTACTGATATACAATCTTATGAAGGTTTCACATGAGCAACATTGTGGTTACAACATTCACCCATATTATCAAGTTTCCCCCCATCCACACACACCCCATTGCAATCACTGCCCATCAGCATAGTAAGATGCTATAGAGTCACTGCTTGTCTTTTCTGTGCTATACTGCCTTCCCCGTGACCCACTTACATTATGTGTACTAATCATAATGCCCCTTAATTCCCTTATCCCTCCCTTGCTACTCACCTCCCCACCCCTTCCCTTTGGTAACTGCTAGTCCCTTCTTGGAGTCTGTGAGTCTGTTGCTGTTTTCTTCCTTCAGTTTTGCTTTGTAGTTATATTCCACAAATGAGTGAAATCATTTCATACTTGTCTTGCTCTGCCTGAATAGCCATCGTTCTTAAAAGTATTTCAAAAGGTAGAAGAGGAGAGTGCTTCCAAACTCATTCTATGATGCCAGCATCACTCTAATAACAAAACATGACAGTACTACAAAAAAAGAAAACTACTGACAAATGTCCCTGATCATGTAGATGCAAAAATCCTCAGCAAAAAATATTAGCAAATGGAATTATTAAATACATCAAAAGATTGGGGAGGGTGGATGGTGAGGGAGAGAGAAGGGGATTAAGGAACACTATAATTAGCACTCACAATATAGGTAGGTCACAGGGAAGGCAGTACAGCAGGGAGAAGACAAGTAGTGACTCTTTAGCATCTTACTACACTGATAGACAGTGACTCTAATGGGGTGTGTGGGGGGGACTTGATAATATGGGTGAATGTTGAAACCACAATGTTGCTCATGTGAAACCTTCATAAGATTGTTTATCAGTGATAGCTTAATTTAAAAAAATACATCAAAAGGATCATCCATCACAACCAAGTGGGATTTATTCCAGGGATGCAAGGATGGAACAATATTTGTACATCAGTGGGAGGCACCACTTTAACAAAAAGAAGAATAAACACCATGTGATCATCTCAACAGATCCTGAAAAAGAATTTGACAGACTTCAACATTTATTCATGATAAAAGCTTGCAACAGAATGGGTATAGAAGGAACATAACTCAACATAATAAAGACAATATACAACAAACACAACTAACATCATACTCAATGGCAAAAAGCTGAAAACTTTTCCTTTAACGTCAGGAACAAGACAAGGATGCCCACTGTCATGACTTTTATTCAGCATGGTATTGGAGGTCCTAGCTATGGCAATCAGGCAAGATGAAGAGATAAAATGTATCCAAATTGTTAAGGAAGAAGTCAAACTGTCACAATTTGCAGATGACATAATGCTCCATATAGAAAACCTTCAAGACTCCACCAAAAAACTGTTTAAACTAACAATTGGATTCAGCAAAGTCACAGGATACAAAGTTAATACACAGAAATCTGTTGTGTTCCTGTATACTAAAACAAATTAGCAGAAAGAGAAATCAGGAAAGCAATTCCATTTATAGTTGCCTCCAAAAGAATGAAATACCTAAGAATAAACCTAACCAAGGAGGTGAAAGACTTATACTCTGAAAACTATAAGACAGTTATGAGAGAAATTAAAGAAGACACAAATAAGTAGAAATCTGTCCTGTGCTCATAGACAGGAAGAATTAATATTGTCAAAATGGCCATCCTGCCCAAAGCAATCTACAAATTCATTGAAATCACTATCAAAATACCAGCAGCATTTTTCAAGGAACTAGAACAAAGAATTCTAAAATTTCTATGAAACCACAAAAGATGCCAAATAGCCAAAGCAATCCTGAGAAAGAAGGACAAAGTTTGGGGGTATTACATTCCCTGACTCCAAGCTATTCTACAAAGTTACAGTATTTAGAACAGTATGGTACTGGCACAAGAACAGACCCATAGATCAATGGAACAGAATTGAAAGCTGAGATAAAAACCCATGCATATATGGTCAGTTGATGTATTATAAAGGAGCTATGACTATACAATGGGGAAAAGACAGCCTCTTCAATAACTGAAGTTGGAGATACTGGACAGCTACATGCAAGAGAATGAAACTGGATTACTGTCTAACTCCACAAAAGTAAACTCAAAATGGATTAAAGACCTAAGGATAAGACATGAAACCATAAAACTCTTAGAAGAAAACATAGGCAAAAGTCTTTGGAACATAAGCATAAGCAATTTTTTTTGGACACATCTTTTCCAGCAAGGGAAACAAACAAAAAACAAACAAATGGGACTATCTCAAGCTAAAAAGCTTCTGTACAGCAGAGGACACCATCAGCAGAACAAAAAAGCAACCTGCAGTATGGGAGAATATATTCATAAATGACTTATCCGACAAGGGATTAACTTTCAAAATATATAAAGAACTCATATACCTCAACACCAGAAAACAACCCAGTGAAAAATGGGTGGAGGACATTTATTTTTCCAAACAAGAAATACAGATGGCCAACAGGCACATGAAAAGATGTTCCACATCACTAATCATCAGGGAAATGCAAATCAAAACCAAAGTGAGATATCACCTCATACCTCATACCTTAGAATGGTCACCATCTAAAAGACAAGAAATAAAAAGTATTGGCAAGGATGTGGAAAAAAGGGAACCCTCCTACACTGTTGGTGGGAATGTAAGTTGATTCAACTGCTGTGGAAAGCAGTGTGGACATTCCTTAAGAAACTAAAAGTAGAAATACCATGTGACCCTGTAATTCCACTTATAGTAATTTATATTATTCAGCCACAAAAAAATCCTGCCATTTGCAACAACATGGATGGACCTAGAGGGTATCAGGCTAAGTGAAATAAGCAGGCAGAGAAAGACAAATACCATATGATTTCACTTGTTTGTGAAACAAAGCAAAACAAAATGAACAAAACAGCAGTAGACTCAGAGACACTGAGAAGTGATTGGTGGTTACTGTTGGGGAGGGGTTTGGTGAGTGGTTGGGGAAGGTGAGGGCAATTAAGGGGCACAAAAATCCTTAATCATAATATAAGTTGATCATGGGGATGGAAGTGCAGCATGGAGAATATAGCCAGTGGTTCTGTAACATCTTCCTATGTTGGCAGATTTTAATTGTACTAGTTGGGGTGGGGATTTAATAATGTGAGTAACAGTTGAACCACTGTGTTGTGTATATTGAATCCAATATAACATTGTGTATCAACTATACTTCATTAAAAAAAGAAGGATCTTTTGTTCAGTTATTGTAAAATAGTGCTTAATTGCCTTTATTGATTGTGGTTTGTGTAATCTTAAAATGCACTCTCTTAACCATTGTGTTACAAGGTTTCCTCCTAGTGTTCCTAGACCAAAAGTCTGACAGATTAGAAGGTGAGGTAAGTACACTTGGATATCTAAGTTTCACCAGCCATTTGTACAGGCTATTCACTTAAAAAAAAAATTTAAGTATCATTGATACAGTTTTATATTGGTTTCAAGTATACAGCAGTGTTCAACAGTTTCCCATATTATTCAGTCCTCACTCCCTCTAGTGCAGTTGCTATCTTTCAACACAGGAAGATGTTACAGAATCATTGGCTA